TTCCACGGGAATTTTCTTGCTTCAACACAACTTTATCCCCAAAGACAAAGCACAGAGCAAACCAAGGAAAATATTCTTTTTAAGTACCCTTCTACAGCAGAAGGACCTCGATTCTCCTATGACCTCTTGGTTCCTTCTGATCGGAAAGCAGGTGATTCAAGTTCCTTCATGAGGGCAGTGCAAGATGATGGAATTGAAGCTCTAGGAGAAGGGTTTGTTGTAAATTGCAGCACTCCTCTTCTGAAGGCAGGGATGTGTAACAGAAGTTTTTTCCGAGAGAATACGTTGAATTACAACTGCCCATACATTCTTTTCATAACCTTTTTCTTGAAACACATACTGTATTTTCATACTTAGACTGAACTCAAGCTTTGTATCAGTTCAAGAAGATCTGCAAAATAAGGCACAGCAGCAGTTAGTATGAAGTGCTGAATTCCACAGCAGCTAAATGAAACACACTCCTAAGATACCACAGGGGTTCCCCAAAGTATTTCCTTCAACGTCTGCTGAGAAATCATATATTGCTGAAGCTCCCTACTATACATACCTGTTTGCTAGGTCTGACACAGCCAATCACGCACGCTAGACCATCAGAAGCCCCTGACAAGCATTCACAAGTGTTTACAGCAACTGTTGCAATGCCTGTTCCACTCCCTGCTCCCCAGCTGCAGGTCAGGGCAAGTCATTGATGTTAGCACCTCCTTTCTCAACATGCAACCGTTCTTTCAAATGCTACGCCTGGCTTATTTGCCTTTTGAATGGATGCCGAAGACAACCTTACAGAAAACGTTCCCAGTTCAAAGTGCTGTTTCTTATATTTAACTGGCTCTACCCCCTTGGACCACACCCCTCTTCTGTCAGTTTAAATGCAGTCTTATTTGAGCCAAAGAGAGAAATGCAGTTAGACTTCTGAAGTTAGATGAGACCAAGCAAAAGCCACCATTGCTGCTATACGGGATATATCGAAGAGTTTACATACGTTGTAGAGCAGGATGTGTATCTGTTTATGTGGGCTCCTTGGCAGACTGGGAAACAAACACTCCAGTCATGTCAGGTTCAACAGCAGTATTGCTAGAATTCAGTTTTGCATCAGCACATCACTGTCAGTTTAAATTGCTTTCACTATTTTTGGTCATTTCCTGGATCACTCATAATCAAGACCAGTCAAAACATCAGAGTAATTTCAACTGCTTCCAGATTAGATGCATTCTTAATATCTGTAAGCTTGAAAGTGTCAAGAACATATTCTACCAGAGATGGAGGAGAATTCACGTAGCTTTCTGTGCTACAGCATGCTGTCCAAGTGAGACAAATAGTACTAGCAGTTGTCTTAGAACTCTGGATATAAGCTGTGAGATCACAAACTTAGTATTTCATAGTGAGAATTCTGAATTTTCGAGTATTATAATGAAACAAGGGCTGTTTCTGACAGTAACTTAAATGCAAGGCATTGAATACCCATATATAAGTAAGCTGGAAGAAAGTACTGTAAAATCACTTTGGAGTATGCTACTAGTGTACAAGTAGGTACTATGAAGACCAGAATGAGTCAGGAGACAGTGATGTATTTTCTACTTTTTTCTTTTAGGAAAAAGTGATTCAGACTAGGCCACCCATAAAGTTGGATTTAGAGACAAGCTCTGTGCATAGCTGAACCCAGGAGAGTAACTCAACTTTGCCCTAAATGTAGAGCAGAGACACAGCACACCCCATCCATAAGGGACCGAGACATCTCACACAAGAAAGAATGCCACAGATTTATTTTCTTTAGTTTAAAGTTTTTATAACCTCAACTTTGTTTACCCCACAGAAGACATTTCAGTAGTAAGAGATCCTCTAGTTCACGTACTATACAATTGCAAGTAAAATGAGGGGCACGTGAAGTACAAAAAAAATTGAAAATACTAGCTTACATTGGGTAGACTTAAAATACTGCTCAAAAAAAAAGTGGCTTTTCAGCTTTTTACCTTTGCAGTTTGGAAATCATCTCTGCAGTCCAAAGACAGGCAATGAATGGAGAAGAAAGCAACTCCAAAGCAGGTGGAATGAAGAAAGAGGCACATTAGCAGGAGAAACAAAGGAAATGCAAATCAAATGAGAAGAGAGACACTCCTCCAATCACAAAGTCCAAAGAACACATTTTGCAGGTGTTTCAGGAACGCATGCTGCTGTCCGTCCGTCCTAGCTGGGTACATGAATCACAGTCCACGCTATTTAGCACTCTACGTGTATACTTGCAATACAGAGAGCATATCTCTTGTACCACACACATTTCCTTGCCCCAAAGAGCTTACAATCTAAGTTCATAAAGAAGAACGCATGAAGTAGCTGGATCAAGATCAAACAAATGGAGAAGACAGGGAAATAATTCTATAAGGGATTAAAGTTGGGTTACATTACTAAGTGAGGTAACTTCTGAACATCATTGGCAGTGATGTTCTTAAGACACAAGTAATTTTTCAGTTAGAAGCTCTTCTGATCATGAAAAACTGCTTTAAAACATACTGAATGATGCACTAAAAGTAATCCACAAAAGTTCTTAAAAATAGACTTGTTGGCAAGACACAAAAATGTTCAGATTGCCCAAGTTCTTTGCTTGAGACACTAACTTGTCATTCTACTAGAAAGATATGGACGTTACAGAAAATTGTATGTACACATCACATTTGAATGTAAAAGGCTTTTTACATTTAAGCTTAAAATGTTAAATTCTGATTTAAGAACCCTGCTTCTATAAACGTAGGCTTAATGCTTAAATATTAATATGAAAATAGTTCTATTTTAAAAATGTATTTTTAACTTTAAATAAACTCTGGACAAGATACAGTTGGCTTGAAATCAACATTCTTTGACTACAGTAAGTGACCCACTTTTCCAAACACTGTTCTGGCTACTTGGCAGTTACAATAGAAGCGACTAGACCATCAACTTTAAAGTTTTCCAGCTTTGTTTTGGGTGTTGGTTTGTTTTGGGGTTCGAGTGGGAGGGGTTTTTTTGTATTTCCCAGTTATACCTTATTTTTTTTAAAGTCAAAATCTTGCACTTTATCTACTAATTGGCAAGACATAGATCAAATGTAATTTATATGTAACCTTTGTGCCCATTTCGCTATCATTTCTTAATCCATTAACATGCAAATAGAAAGTATCATCTTTTCATGCAAGTATGACTTTCATGTCTTTCATACCAAGGCGTATTGCTTCGGATTATGTACATAAGCCATCTGCAACACTTTCAGGGCATTTGAAAAAAATGTTGGAATAGTTATAGTAAAAAAAATTAACCATAATTATCCAATCTGTATACAGTAACAAAAAAGAGAAATAATTCTTTTTCACCTTAACAAACAGCATATCCAGTGGAGCTACCTTTTTGTAAGGGAAGCAGATGTTAAGAGGATTTCATGTAAGCATAGAAGTGAGACAGGGAGGATAAGGACTGCTAACATGCGATCCATTTAGTTTTCATTTTGAAAGGTACTCTCAAGGAAATCAAACAAGTAATGAAGACTGAAGAACTATGTTTCTTTGACCCAAGTCAGTACTAGCATTTACTTTTTGGAAGTTACAACTATATTAAATTGGCTTGTAGGAGAATACAAAAGGAGTATAGCCACAGATTACCAAGATAATTTGATCACTTCTCAACAACAGCTAAAAAATGAGGGAAGAAAATGGTCAAGGGATTATGATCAACTGTTTCTCGTACATGCCACAAAATTACAAAAAAATTCCTGCAGACCTGTAATAAAACCCTCCCCACTATTTGAATGAGTTTCAATTCCCAGGTAAAGATGAATCAACAAAATTAAAATATTGTGCTGTTTTATTGGTGTAAAAATCACACAATTGCTAGTTCTGATTCTGCAGAGATACATCCATGCAGTTAAACATCTATGATCCCACAGCCAGAAGAAGCCATTAAATAGAATATCTGCTGTTAGTCAGCAATTAATGCAAATTTACATATGAGATCAAAAGGTGTGTTATCATACAATATACAACAAATCCTAATACAGTACATCAACCTGAATAGCAGGATACACTCAGGGAACTCTGTTAATAGTGAAGCCTGTCTATATGCCAGAGAAATAAGGCCTGGAAACAAGATGACAGAAGGTACCCCAGAATTCCTAAGAAGCAAACTGTTCATGTTTTGTTTTTTTATTTGGTTTTGTTGGTTTTTTTTTTGCTGGGAATTAGAAGTTCATAGAGGTATTGACACATTACTTGACAATACAATTTGTTATAGTGAAGACTGGTGAATGTGATCTGTTATTAAAAGGTAATGTGTGAAACATGCAATTACAGGTGGTGCTTAGGTAGTGTATAATTAATATGTCGGGGATTTACACCCAACTCTTTTCACAAAAGGGAGGACTGAAAAATGTCTGTTTGATCGACTACCAATTGTACCATAAATCTTTATATGCATGCGGCTGAGTCAGGATCATGAATGGATAAACGTGAACACCTGGCAATCTGTGGTTACATACTCTATAATGTATGCAACAAAAACACAAAATCAAATCCAGTTGATATGGCAAACAGCCTGCAAGAACTCTGTCAACCTCAATAAGTTGGTTTATTGCAAAGAGGCAGGCTTTCTAGAACTGTGAACAACTTTCCAATTGTGAAAGGCAGCTTGGGAAGTAACATTGGCTGATAACACATTACTATTTTTTCTCTTTTCTGGCACAGTAAAATAAATGCCATAGCGAAAGTAGAGTTTATGTGCTTAAAGTTTAAAGTCAACTGATTAGCAATCCTCTTCTGCAAAGATGTTTCAATGGGAAAAAAGAAACCACTAAAAAAATTCCAGTTGGAAAGTTTGGCGACAAACTCTGCAAACTCAAGTCCAACAAAGGTCACTGATGCCCACAGAAAATGATGTGAGAGGCAGTGTCACATTCAAGGAAAGTTTTTTTTCTCTGTACTGAAATTAAAATACTTAAATACAAAAGTGGACAAATTGACAAAACAGAACCACAACATTTAATGTAGAATACAGTGCACTGAGCTAGATGCATGGATCTTTAAATAGGCTTTGAAACCAATACCCCTTTCAAAATTAGTAAATTCACAGTTAACGGCAGTAGGCTTAGAGGTGAGAGAAGGGTCGAAGTTGTTCCAGTTGGACTTCCAGGGAGATTCTCTCTTCAAGAACATCCTACAAAAGAAAGATTTTCTACTGACTGTCCACAGAGAATGAATATTAAAAATCTCCTCATGCAATGAAAAACTGGTAAATGTCAGCTTCAGTTCTGAGAGCTAACGTCCAGGTCTTACCCAGAATCTGGAGAACTCTTCCCATAATCTGAACAGAAGATTGGCTAGCTAGTAATTACTCATAAATGAAAATCAATACTTTGCTCAAGGGTGAAGCCGATTAGTAGTACTTCATTCCTTTCAAATCACCCCAAACCACAAAGTTGTAACCAGCTACAAAACCAACTATTATATTTTCAGCTGAAGTCTAAGATGTTAAGGAGGTAAGAGCTCTCATCTCAGTTAAAGGATTTGAAACTCACAATTTTCCCCCTGCAGTTTTTCCTCTTATGTCAATTTTTACAAGCTCTGACTCTCTTAACAGTAACAAGTGAAATTCAGGCTTGATAGTTTTTTAAATGGCCTATCTTCCAGTCTAGACAATATCACATTAATTCATGTTTACAGTTAAGAATTTTTTTAAATTAACTTTATAATTAAAATTAGGTATCTTAAGGTAAGAAAGATGGCAAGAGAAAGATGTTAAGGTGGTGCCTACAGATAAATCCAAAATTCTAACAGCTGACCAAGATAAACACATGGCTACTGCTGTTCATAAGCTGCAAGTTTTGTATTCCAGATTATATTTGTTTAAAAATATTTAGAAATTTATGAAGACTTTAAGGTTTGCTTTTTCCTTCAGAAAGGAGGCCACTTCAGCTGCTGTTCTCAATACTGCTTTTAAAGTATCTGATGACTACACCACCTACCCAAATTATTAATACTAAGTTAAGATTTCTGCTTTTTTATTTTTACTGCAGCTGAAAGAAAATCAGTATATTGAAAAACATGTTTTGTAGTAGTAAAAACATCCTTTGGAATTTCACAAAGCTTGTCACAATTAGGTATATTCTAAAGATTTTACATCAATATCCTTTACTGTGTCTACCACTGGTTTGCAGAGATGCCCGTTACTGTGCATCACTAACCTCTTGCCCGCTAAGGCTCTTCTCTTAAAGAGACAAAGATTATGGAATTACCTTTAGTTGCTGCTGTAGTTCACTATTCAGTCTGGCCAAAACAGTGTTGGTTTCCTTGTTACGTCTGATTGATGCCTGAATTGCCTTCTTGTCTTTCCCCACTGATCTGAGAATATATTAGAAGTATTGTAGTAAGTCATTTTGGTGCTTAGCTGAATGTCTCATTTATAGCCCCTCTTTTTTAAATGAGCAGAATCCTCTTTTCAAATTTTTTTAACCTGTTATACTTATTTTTCCCTCTTCTGCCTGGCTCAATTAACCTTGTTTGTTTGCACGGAAGCCATACTCGGTTTCAATGAAACAGCAAGAAGCACATTTTAAAAATTTGTCATAATCAATTTTCTGAAGCCCCAACGCACTGTACCACATTCATTTACCTCAAAGTGACTAATGTCATAGTCTACTTTCATGCTAGGACACAGAGACTATACATTTTGGACTGTTCATAGCCACCATTATTTAAAATCAAACACTATATCTTACTACTTCCACCACTTATTTCCAACATACTTGCAGAAATTAAAAGAGTTCACACTCCAAATCTCAAGATCTCTAAAAGGTCTCTCAGTAGTAGAGGCTTCGGGATGATCTTGTTTAAAACCCAAAAACCTTTAAACTGTTAAATTAGTCTAATTCAAACACACTGAGATAGTTTGCAACTCCTAGAACAGAAAGCGTGTATGCTGTTTAAATGTAAATTTTCCAGTAACAGATGTATTTATACACTTCTTGGGTTACCTAGGAATAGATGGCTGTGAAGCAAGAACAGCAGCTATGACACCTGTTTTCTGTGTATGTTCCTCAGCTTCAGGTCTTAGCTCATCTTCAGATTTTAATCTTCTGCGAATAGGCTTTGGTGGTGGAGCAAGCGGGGTAGTGCCTTTACCCTGAAGAGGAAAACACAGCCTATTAATTCTCACAAACTGCATTTTACTTGGGTTCTAACCTGGTAATTTGTTTGCATTACATAGTCTTAAAATCAGTTACCGAGCTAACTAAACTTACAACCTATCAGGTATTTTCTGATGGACATCTAGCTGCATTCTCATCTGGTCTGGAAAAAAAAACTTAAGTACCAAATCCCACGCCCTGGTAAAAGGGTGGTAAGTTGCTACACACTGACAAAGAAGCGTGTAAGCAGAAACACCATGGTACAACTGACAATTGCAAATAGACAACAGCTCAGAGCATGTTTTCCCCCCAGTAATTACGTGTCTAACAAAAAAAATCTACTGTTAACCAAGTTCTGCACTAAAAGTTTTGCCATGTTTCAAAATTTTGAATGCTTACAAGTGATCTTAATTTTCTGCTATCTCAAGAATGAAGCTAATCATGAACATGTTCCAATGCAAAGATCCACCATACATGTGCCTATTTCAAGCACATATTGGACCTAAGAAAGCTGGGTTAAAGTGGAAGTGTATAAAGTTGCTGTTGCAAATCAAACCAGCTGTGTAATTTCATATACATCAGACAACTGTACTCTCCTTCCAAGGGTACTTTGCATACCGCACTAGTGGGGACATTAGCAGGTGCTTTGTCTTCAACTCTTCCATCTGCTTTGGCAACTCTAAGAGAACTTGCAGAATCAGAGGGCTTTTCAACCTAAAGGGATACAAACTATATTTAGAAAACTATTTCTTAACAAGTATTTCATACAGCAACAGTTGAAATAAATAGAAGTATGCTGTGTTTCTGATACATGAATACTGTTAACACCTAAAATTACAGTTCAAGTCTTCCTTAGAAGCACAGGCCGGCATACAACAATACTTGCTTTAGAGCAAAACCATCTAAAACCATCTTGGACACAAACACTATTTGGGCCTGGGAGCAGCTCACAGAAGAGGCACATAGCAAAAAGCTATACTTCCAGAATCAACAGTCAGACTTGTCTTTCAATACAGAATCTAAAATCACTATGAAAAGATGACATAGTTACTTGAAAGTACCCTGCTCTCAAGCATTGTACTTGGGATGCCTCTGAATAGTCAAATCCCCAACATTATGAGGCACTGACATAGTTACTTGAAAGTACCCTGCTCTCAAGCACTGTACTTGGGATGTTGGAATGCCTCTGAATAGTCAAATCCCCAACGTTATGAGGCACTTTGTAGTACAAAAGAGGCTGTGGCCTGGTGATAAAGTGCTACAGCTGTTTCTGCTATTAGATTACCACCATTATCTATTTATTACCACCAAAGGTTAATCCCTCCCATGGAACACAATGCAACTGTTCCCCATCCACCACAACGCAAAACAATCAGCAAGCTTAACTTAAGCAGTTTTCAGTGGCAGCTTAAGCTAACATAGCTGATTTTGCAATGAGGTACATGGAGAGTGCTCAAATGGTTCTATGTCGTTGACCTTCTTGACTAAGGGAAGCAAGAACATGCTGCTGATAGTTGGGAGAACTTTAGAGCACCACAGGTACCTTTGCAACTGAGGATGCAGAAGTGCCCCAGAGAATTTACAATCTGGATGAAGGCTACAAATTATGAAAGGAAAACATGAAGCAATTCATGTAATAGCAGTAAGCTCTTATGACATTAATAGGAGTAAACTGAGGCTTCCAAATTTTTAAGTCCTATGTTTGTAGTAGGAAACACAGTTTTGTAAACATCTCTAATGATCTATTATAGAAGGATGCCAGAGGTCTATTCTCTTTAGCTGTTTGTCCAATGGCTTTGAACAAAACCAAATTACTGAAATTTTAGCAGATGTTTATGGTACTTGACAGTCATGTCATTTATTAAGACAGACTACTTTAAAACTTACCAATACGTCATTTGGACAGCTGGCAAAGTGAGCAGAAGAAAAGTTTTGCCTGTGCTAAGTTTTACATGCACCAACACAATTATATTTGCACACATCTATGCAAAGTACAAAATCTTTTAAATTACAATCGGGAACTGAGAATAAAAGAATTTCTTCTGCCTAGGTGTTGGCAGTTACTAAATAAGCATAGCAGTATCTAATGTAATTGCTTTCTAGCAATGGATTGGGACACCATGAAAAGAAATCCTACTGAGTTTAAACAGCAGATGTAGGTTTTAACAAATTTTCATAACTGTTGGTATTAAGCAATTGACAAGATCTTTACTTCTGCTCACCTGCAAGACTTCTGAGTGTGTTTCAATTTCACCTTCTTCCTCTTTGTTTCCTCCTGAAACAGCAAATGCCTCAAACTGGCTGAAGTCTGCAAAATTTGGCTGTTCTGGTATTTGCTGAGGTGAGGTACTAGTATGAGCTATTAGGCCTTCAGCATCTACTGGGCGATGCACATGAGGACCTGCACCCTGCAATCAAATAACAAAAATATTTAGTGAAATCATTCTTAACATAGTTATCTGATGCAAAGAATCTCACCAAACGACAGTTTGTGACAGAATGTTAAAGATTATTTGCCTTTTTAGTGGATAAAGATTTATGTCGTGTCAGCAGGACAAAGTGCATCTCATCCAAGACACAGAGCACTCTCTGTGTTTATAAAAATAGAGAAATATTTAAGAGAAAAGGAAGTTAAATCAGATGTGCTGTTATTCAGAGAATGAGACCGAAGATAAATGCACCATAGGACTATCTAGATTCATTGGACAGTAGATGTTTCTACTGTAACACAGTCCAGCTTGGCTCTGTCAGGCTTGATGCAGATTTTTAGTCTAGTTCCATAGGGAAACATGCTTATGTGATCACACTGTATGGAATATGTTTGTCATTGTACCCTCTCTCCTTGCAGATGATTTCTGTATCCATTGACTGACTTCAATTGCTGGTAACTCAGATTCTAACAAGTAGCTGCTGCTGAAAAACAACTGAAAAGCACTTATATCTGTCCCATGTGAGATCTGCACAGGAGCTGAAGGATCCAGCTCGTTGAGACAAAAAAACCCCCAAACTTTTCCAGGATTTTCTTTCTACCAAATCAGCTGACTGAACTGACTCAGACCAGGACTGCAAAGATCACCAACTCTATGATAAAGGAAGAAGTGGGATCACTCCTTTTGGGAGCAGGCACATTATGTAAAATGATATGCTGTGTCAGCCACGGATTGAAGACAACACTTATTTCGCAAAACTTTGAAAGATTCCTCTTACAGTCTGTGTTACAGCCTATTAGTTATACAGGGACAGGTAAAGAACTGTGAAAGCGTAACGTTCCTCTCTTTCCTACAACTCAGAGCTCCAGAGCCTCTCATTCCTTCTCAATCTCTACTTTAATCCCTTCCCATGGTTCCACCAGAAACAATTTTTTATTCAGGAAAGGGTAATGTTTGGCTATAGTCTAGGTTTTGCCATCACACACATGCTGGTGGCTTCAAGAAATGTCAAGCAATACTACTACTCATTTTAGAGATAAATTAAAATTCAGAGTTAGATAAAAATGATGCACCAAGTTAAAGTATGGTTTTTCAAAAGTGACATCACCTGTGAAGGCTGTGGTCTTGGAGGCACTGCAGGGGGATAGGCAACAACTCCAGCCTGTTGCTGTCCTGCAAGAGAGGCATCGTGTTTGGCCAAGATTGTTAGTCTTCGTATTACAGTGATATCTGATTTTTTGGCTTGTCAACATGAACAAATCCCGCATTTTGCCTACATATTAACCTGTCTGTTGAGGACCATAATTGTAATGTCATCTCCTTCAAATTTGCCAACAGACAAAACAATGAATCAGAACACGGATCTCTTCCTCTGTTTCAGCTCGAAGTACAGACATGGTCATACTTTTCTGATCTTAGTCCTTTTTTTCCTTTTACCCTCATTTTACACTCAACATTTTCTCATACTTTGTGATCCTGAATTGAAAAGTACTGACAAGTCAGAAGTACAATAAAAACCCGTAAGTAAAGCACCAGAAGTGACCTTTAATCATTTCTTCTGAAGTGGAATACTTAACACCTGTCTCTAATACATCTGATACCAAAAGAAATCATATTGAAAATTTACTGGCAGGTGCAATTCATTGCATGTGGGTGCACTACCAAAATATTATTTCCTGGCTTTGCTTCCCACATTCATCTAAAGGACTACAACGCCAGCATTCAGAATTTACTTCTAAATTATCTGTTTAAGCAAAGCGGAGTAGTAATTTTAATACAAACAGGAAAGTGACAACTTTTTCATTCAGAAGTAGCGTTTTAAAGACACACTCTAAATCTTTCTTCAGGGAAAAAAAAAAGATTGTCTGCTTCAGGAATATATGTGCTGAAAAAGAATATACTCTAGGAACACAGTATATCTACCTGGGGTAACTGAAAAGGATCTGTTCATATCTAGAGATGATGATCGAGAATGAGAAGGATGAGGCCTTGGAGGGGGTGGCGGCGGCGCAGTGTTATCTGGAGATGTTCCTGAATGTGATCTGCAAAACATATAAGCTTCTGTAGAGATTTCAGGCAGCTACAACAGAACTAAAATTCAAAAGTTCTTCAAAGTATGCACTTAGAAGTTTGACAGATGGAAAAGAGCCTGATTGCCATTGATTCTGAAGACTGAAAAATCAGTTTTAAACTTCTGGTATTCTTTGATTTCACAATTGGTTTTATATTTCTATTTACTTAAATCTGTTATCCAAATTATTCTTATATTACCACAAGCAATTTATCTTTGGGAAACCAGTAACTTGATACACATCTCAAACAATCATAGTTCAGGAACAGAGAATCCTAAATATGTTAATTCCATCCAGATGGTAGTCAATATAATTTGTAAAGTATGTAAGATGTACTAACATCCTGAATAGATTTTAAATGGTTTAAGTTCAGTGTCAGTGAAGAATATTAAGTTTCTGTTGGACCTCCAGGGATATCGAGCTTAAGGATTTATCTCAGTGTATGAAATAGCTATTTAATTCTCTGCCTGAAATTTTCCAAATCTATACACTTGGTAGCATCTCCAGAAATTTTAACTCGTTCTTAGATAGGATCACCATCTAGTGGATACCTGTTGTAAGTTCATTGAGCACACATGCAGGAAGAATGGAAGGATGAAGGACTGCCCTAAGTGCCATCCAAGGGGGGTTGCATACAGAATTTTTGTACAGATTCCATTTAAAAACAGCTTGCAGAAGCTTCCCAACTAGTCCAATTTCAGCAAGATAGATTTACTGAATTACTGACATGAATAAGGTTACTCTTTTATTCAACTCATAAATATGCGATAAAATCTTTTCTCTGACTGACTTCTGTAACAGTCTTCTATAACTATTCGTAAGATATAAAACTAGGAAAGGTAAGAGCTACCTAACTTAACTGAAATTCCTGAAAGTTCAGACAGAAAATTGAGTTATCACAATAGAAAAATCTGCTTCCTTAATATACTCTCCAGGACAACACTTCTGTAACACTGTGTAACCCTCCAGCTGATGAAATACAAATCTAACTAGATTGACTCGTAGGGTCATCCCTCTAGCTAGTCTATATAAAAGGCACAAGTAGAATAAAAAAGGGAGAAAATGGTTTAAGGACACTCCCAAGTATCATTATCTGATATAGCCTTATCAGTTTTTGCTTTCTGAAAATACAAGTAGTACTATGGACTAATGGTAGGGGTTAAGGACAATGTCATCTCTACAGGTAAAGTTGCAATTGGTAGAAGAGATATCAGTGGAAGGAAGTAAAAGAGGAAGTGGGAGAAAAATTTCCTGGGTAGATGCTGCCAGAATTGCCAGATCTGGACAGAAGCAGCCTGTGCCATAAAGTGGAGACTTATCAGAAAGCTTCACTCATCTACACCAGTTCAGCAAGAGAACCCAACCCAAAATCACAGATGAAAAGAACACGTTGAAACCATCATGTTGATAGTGCAAAAACATACACAGAAGCAGGACAATCAGATTTGCCATTAAGTAACAGTGGAGGAAAGACTTTTTCAAGCTGCTATACTGAAAAGCAAAATTGCAAATCTTCTTTGCTGTTAAAGTCACCCTAATTATTTTTGTTCTGAAACTTACCTCTGGAACTGATTGTAAGATGGTTAATGGCGTAGCTGGTTTTTAATCCTATTCAGGCAGATTCAATGGGAACAATTAGCACCAGCTAGTACAGCACATTCTCTTATGTCAAATGATGAAGTTGTTGGTTATGTGCTTGCATAGCTTCCTCCAGTCCCTTAATTTATGGGCTTATGACTGCCCTTCATTTTATAAAAGCCCATTATTAAAAGATATTGAGTTACTGCTGTGATATTTCTCGTTAGTTTTTTTGTTCTTTTATGCTACAAAGTCATACAGTCCTTCTCCATTAAGGCCTAATGGATGTTTTAAAAATACAAAAAATTGGTTTCAAGTAACATCATGATCTCCTGTGCATACATTCCCTTGTGTTTAAGGAGAAAGTCTTTAGCACGATTTCTGACTGAGCGAAGAGTTTCATTTGATTGGACAATCCCAAACAACCTTTTAGACTACATTATCTTTTGAATTTTCACTTCACACATTAACAGAACAGCGTATATTGTTAATGCATTAGAATACAGACTGCCTCCAGATTCTGAAGTGTTAAAGTTAAGAATCCCTTTAGCCGTCATTTTACAAGCTAGTTGTCAAGCAACCAGAAGCTCAGAACAGGCTTCTTTAAACGCCTTTCATTTTTTTTTCAGTTGCTACTCTACTGACCGTTGCCGCGTTACAGTGCTTCCAATTTGCTCTGGATCTGAAGTATAGGAGTCCGAACTGCTGTAACCATCTGCTGGTAAGAGAAAGTACAAAGTTTCATATTTGTTTAGCATCATTAATATACCTTCACAGTCATAGGTAATATGTAATTTCAAGTACCATTTTTTTTAATCTTTGTATAGCTTCCCTGTAAGGTATCATCTGGGCAGGATTCAAAATCCTTGAGTCTGAGTAATTGAACGATACAATACAAACCACCTTCCCTCACCCAATACTATGAGTTGTTGGTTACTACTGGGATGTACTGACTAACAAACAGTGACAATAATGTTGTATTTAAAATAATAAAAATGTAAATTTCATAAACAATTTTTTAAACACTTGACATTCTATCACTTCAACACTCTAGCCAACAAGAGTAAGAGACATCCAAGAAAAAAAAAAAAGCAAGTAGGACATGCTTGATTTTAGCAGTGCTGAAGGACTGTCATGAGCCTTAGAAGTCGGAAAAAGAAAGATATGTATGGTACACCGATCAACTCAGTAGCTTTGCTCCGAGTTCAAGGTTGGTAGTCAGCTCTACTTTGCACTAAATAGTTTTAAAAGCTTTCAGCTTTTGGTTAAGGCAACCTATAGAAATGAAAGATGCTATTACAGCATCATGTAGACAGTTTCCTTAAGGACACCCTTACCCTTAAAAGCTATGCAAAGCTTAAGGTTTTTTCCCAAGAACTGAGGAGTCAAAAAAAAAAAAATCTAAAGATTTGTGTGGAATGAATGTAGACAGAAACATGGCGCTCAGAATAATTTATCATAAAAAGGGATGCTTCTAGAGCACCTGCTAAAGTACAATTCAAGGTGGAAAGTCACTGGAGCAATGAAACTCACTTGATCAGATATCAGTAAAGAGAAAAATTCTGCTCAAGAACATCAAGTTTTTTTCTGAATTACCCAAAGGATTACTTTAACCTCCCTAGGACATTACAGTTTTCAAAAGTGTTATGACACATCAACCAAGACCCAGAGATGAGAATCCTGCAGAGATCCTTTCCTGTCTAGCAAGGCATATTCTTATCTGTTACTTTTGTTTTTCCTTAAAACTGCAGCTACATTAATCTAGTGAAGTTGGCTTGAGACTTCTATCATGCAGTGTCATCTGAGGAATACCTTACTTAAAGTTAACTTTGGATTAAAGTTATTTTGCAGGTTTACGGGTATGTGTCTATTCAATGAGGGCTACAGAGAATTAAAAAAATGGTATCTATATACACATTCTTTAAAAAAGAGAAACAGAAATGGCTACCATGAGATGGCATTGAAGTTTTCAAGGATCAAGTGAGAATATTAAGTTTTAAGCAGAAGTTGGTTATATGATCAATGAAATTATCTCTCTCTAATCCAAACACCTCTAGTACTGGGTATATTTCTCAAGCCGTTCAGGATGTAACATAACCCAGCCAAACAAGACTCCAGAGACTCATTCAGGCTACATATAATCTGGGACCTCTCTCAATATTAGTCCTTCTAGACCAAAAACTTTTACATCATTTCAGTACAAAACTACGGGGTTTACACTGGTATTAGAAGCAAATAAACACTTGGAAAGCTGTACCTAAAAAAGAAATCTAGAAGTCTATTGCATTGTCTTAGTAGCTAAACCAGATGAGAATTGCCTGAAAATTTTGTGGTCAACAGGTTTTCACTCTTCGGAAAACATGTTGTTACATGGTCCTGAGGAAATAGAATCAAATGCTACTTAGTCAATTCCACTTCCCATATATTTCAATTTCCCATCCTAAGATTAAAAGAGAAAACAGAAAAATGGGAAGGCACTGACAAAAATGAACTTTTTAGAACACATATGGCAGGAAAACATCTCCAGCGATATCAGTAGAACTTCTCAATTACTACTTCAATATATACTTCGTATCAGAATGTCTCTATTCTTCAGATAAGTTTATCTCATTTTAGAGCTGCTATTATCTAGCAGGTTTTCATTCACTGAGGACTATGCCAGATCTACGTTTTGCATAATGTAAAAAATGAGATCAGAAAGTACTTTGATACTTACTAACTGTATTTCCAGATGTAAATTTTACAGATGAACTCATTTTGTTTTCTTCTGGGAGATCAGGTGGTTTCACAAGTAGTGGGCTAGTAGGGTTAGCGTGATCTAGACAGAAAAACAAGCCTAATAAACAACAAGTATTCAAACTAGCCTTTACTTTGGCTGCCAAAGCTTTACATTAGTTTTCTGCCCTGATCTGAAGTGATGCATTCAGGACTAAAATTTTTCCATTTTAACACTTTTGGTGTATGAATTATTTTAACTTTGAAGTTTTACACTATAATGGTGTTATTTCTATTTCTTAGTGTTAAGAGTTGGGAATCTTTACCTGTTTACAAGGATAAGGAAATTTTAAAAGAAATGTGTTTTGTGGATACTTTTTTATTCTCATATGCTGAAGACTGTGCATGAGTTACATGACTTTAGGAAAGATGGCATATTAGGACACATCTGAAAACTGAGACTCCACTCTTCCTCAAGGAAAATTATCAAACCACCTTGCTTATTTTTGACCAGAGCATTAAAGAAAAAGGCCTGCCTATACTCCCAAATGCTATCACGTTTCAAAATAATAAATTCACTATTTCTGACCACAGTAGAACAAGCTTTATCAATGCAGGCTATGTTCTCCATCTTCACAGTCTTTCAGTATTTAATAAGGAAACCTAGACATTCTCCTGGAGGCCCAAATCAAATCTATATCATGATGCTCCTGAACTGCTCCAAGCAATGATCTCCTATAGATGGCGAAATCCTCACTGTAGCAAATGGCCCATTCAAACTCTACACCTGTCTGAACAGTACTCAGAAAAATCTCATTAATTATGCTGGTTACAAATCCAGATACAAATCTAATGGGAAGAAAATAAGTCACTATGTTTTAAGGAGGCAAAGCCAACTCTAATTTTATGAAACTTTCCTCATCAGCAAGAGAAAATATCCTACCACTTCCAGTTCTTTTAAGCTCCATTTCCTGCATGTGGATTTTGCTTGGAGTCATTCTTATGGGAACTGGGTGTACAATTGCAGTGTCCTGTGGAGGAGATGAGAGTTAAGTGATGTTAATCTAGCTTTAAATTGTTCTATTAAGAGTCTCTGACACCATGCAAAATGCCATTTCTAAGCAAAATTTCATAAATTTAATTTTTTACGCAGTTCCAGGGAATTGACCATACCCAAGCTGAAGTTTCTCTAACACTTTAAAGTGTAACCTAGCATACTACTTTAAAAGGGCACTAGAAATGTTTCTATAGATTACTGTGTTGTAAATAGGACCTGAATTTTACCAGCTTTCCACCATTATTGGCATACCAGGTATCTGTTACTTCAAGTGCATCTTCAAAAAACCCAAAACCACACACAACCAACTTCAAAACCCCACTCCTCAGCTTTACTTACAATGCCTCAGAAAGTTATGGCCTCTTTAAATAGTATGAGATTCTCTATAAAATAGGTACTTTGTTGTAGTTTAAGACAAATAATTTCAGGAGCCTTTAAAATAGAAAACTCTTCTACACCTCAGTATAATAAACCCTATAGAATATATCTCTAGACAGGTGTTGACCTAACACAGGCATTTTCTTTGCAATTCAGACAAGCGACTCCATTTTCATGTACTTTATAGACAGCCTTTTCCATTTGCTTTGGAGACTGAGTAGATAGCTTAAAAAAAGTATCAAAACTTTTATGTTTGTTCACAAGTAATCTAAAAATATGTACATAGCTGAGTTTTTTTTTTTTACTGTCATCTGTATCCAGAATATATGAATAGGTGGGACAACAGCACAAAAAAATCCAATTATATTACATCCATAGAAATAACAAGAAGTTTCAATGCTACCCTTCTATCAGAAATTTAATCTGTTCTGACTACTCAAGTAGATCAATTTCACCAAGTATAATGCATTTACATTAATATTTTCTAAAACTATTTAAACTGACTTGCACTACTCTTCTTGCAAATATAAGCTTTTAAACTCACTTTCTAGTCACAGCTCAAGCACTCCTGTCGCCCCAGGCTTTTAGGAACAGTTATCACTTTAAAATATGTTGTACTTTTCCCCCCTGTAATGGGAGTATCATGCAAACATCACTCTTGCTGTAGCTACTTTAGTCCTCTGCTGTCATCTGGTGTGCAGCTACCACAAAAATCATGTCTCAAACACTTAGATGGATTTTTAAATAATGTATTGAGATCACAAATCTAATTTTACACAAAAAACCCTTAACATGTTACCACCTTTCACTTACAATAGGCAAATTATGTTCCTGCACCCGGGGATGAATGTACTGTTTTACTCTTTTCCACTTATCTTTTACCTCCAGAGCAGCTGCTTTTCCAACAAACCCAGAAAATAACTGGTCTATGAATTTATTCTTTAGTTAGTTATTAACAATTGTTCGAGAAAACTGTTTCTCTCCTTTGGGAAAGGAGGCATTGTTCGATAAATGAGTCCTATGCATCACTGTTGAGACTGCTAAAATAAGAAGTCTGCACACTGCCACTGAAAATTTGCTGTCATTTCTTATTTTCATACGAAAATAAAGACTGAAGTATCTATTCCCAAAGTCTGTTACCTTAGCAAGCAAAGATGCGCACCATTTTTAAAGTTTCTCACCTACATGCATTGTTAGAAAACGACTCGAGAATGTGATCTCCCAGAATATTTTTTGTATTTCTATTGAATGTCTGTTTATACACACATGTGTAAACACACACATATATGGCTATATATGAGTTTTCCATATATCACTGTTCTACTTTTTAGATTATCAATGTACGTAAAAACTTTCAAACTTTAGATTTCTATCATTTACTAATTATGTGTAAAAATAAATTACTACTTTATTGTGGAAATAAGATAGTGATAGATCTTTAGTGTTGAGCAATTACACACAGTAAGAAACAACTATAAACTGATATCCATCATGTTTACTTCATTAAAACAAAAATACAGTACATTTAAACAAAAAAAAAGTCTCCCTCAGATGAAAAAGGGGTGGTTTTCACTGCAAGTATGACATTTTCCTTGGTTTTGAATGTTTACTAAAGGCAATTCTGAGCACAGGGAATAGTACAATTTGGATTTTAGCTTCCAGAATCTAGAAATGCTATTTCCACATAAATGGCAGTGTCAACTTGAGAGTGGAACACTGATGTATTTAAAAATACATGTATATTTATGTATTGTATCTTTTCAGAATTGACCTGTTTTAATATAAAAAGCAGTTAAATGTATATTATGTACACCTATTATATTGTTATATAATCAAATGGATACTAACACCGTACTTAATTAAATTAAAATGGACACTAACAGTGGTAATTAAATATGTAAGAAAAGCAGGATGAAAGCAGCAGCTAAAAACTGAAGTAATTTTAATGCATTTCAGAACTGCTTCAATGTCACATGCTGTGAAGTTTAAAACCAGCAGAACTGGAAACATGGTAGTGAATTTCTGGCTCCCAAACTTGGCAAGATATTTAGCTACATAATCCTTCAGAGCACTCCTCACCAAGTAAAGCACTGGAACAGCACAGGTTTAGCTGGAGAAATACTAAAAGCCTTATTAACAAGTAAATTGGTGAAAACATTAATTGGTGTGGTATTTCATACTCGTAAAGTCCAGTAATTTTTTCAGTGAAGTTGGCATTGTCAACTTCCTACGAGTTTGTGTAAGCCAAGCTCTGCAACTTGAAAAAAAACAAAACAGCACTGAAGACAAAATCTAAACAGGACTAGTTTATCACTGGGAGGGACCCTTGCCTTAACTTACAAATATTTTCAAAAAACCATTATATGTTTAAATGTTTTGTGTAATACAGGTTTGGACAACAGTGTTGTATTACATCAAAATAAAGGGGGAAAAAGCATTCTTTGCACTCAGATCTTAAACATGAGCAGTACTAGAAAATTTATATTCCTAAAGCAAGCAAAAAAAATTAAGAAGCCTGCCACCATTCCCCAAAAAGCAGTCCATGGATTCATGCATAACAGCTAAATACAATGAATGGAAATTCAGTGTTAATAAAATTAATTTCAAACAAGCAAGCTAAGTGATTGACTTACAGGATCAGCTGGTGCAATGTTAGAATCAAATTGGGTCAGAGTTTGTGAGCTTGAAGAGCGTTCGCTAAATGTCTCCCACTGCTGAACAGACAGAGGAGAGAAGTCAGCATGATGAGAAAGATGGGAGTAAAAGATCACTGAGGAGATTTAGCATAGTAGTTCGGAGGTTGCACTGGAAAGTACTGTATTTGCACTGGACAGCACTTGACTTGGAAAGCACACTAATACACATTAAGTATTTCTATTTCAGTCTGAGTTTGTTGTGCAACCAAGTTTGTAATTTGTCAAATACTAATCTTTACATTCACATTTCATAATGAAGATACAGGTGCACAGCCAACACCTAAGTACCTTCAGAGTTCCTGTTTGCCCATGAAGACCATACAAGTAAAAGAACGGGTTAAGCCATTCATATACTGTAAAGATAACATCAGTGCCACATGTTGTGTTATTTGTAATTATAAAATCCACAGAAAAGTTCCTCAGCTTTGTAGCTGCTGAGTTTTGAATGTATGTCATAAATGCTGATTTTCTTACAAAATCTGAGACAATGAGCAGAGTACTCCAATTACACCAGTTCAGCTTGCCAGTGCAACCCCTGAGAAGTGATTCTATGCTGTAAAAGAGTACTTTTACAAGTCTAAATCATTGACAAAGCAAAGAATTAAATTTAAACATACTGTTGATTGCTAAAAGCAAATAAGTCAATCTCTGAACAATTTTATAAGATATAGGCATGCTGTATCAATACATGGTTGTCAAGAGTCCTCATGCTTAGTAAGTCAAGCTACAGCCACAACTGGATCAAAATACCAAAGTACATAAAATTAGTCTGTGATCCAGAAACCAGATTACAAATCACAATAGGAATGCTAAACTTGTTATATTTTGGTAAAATAACAAGTAAATGTTAACCAAGTTTCAAACACTACAACAAAAATTACAAATATAAAATTTGACAAAGATGTTAGTGTAGTTGTGAAAACAAATCAATATTCCTGTCGCATCCCTATAGGCAAATCAATGTAAATTATTTCAGAATATACAGGACAAACTACATGGTGTTAGTCAATTTAATCTCATGTGCTCCTCCTCTACACCAAGCTATATTCGGTGAATGGCCTGTATGTGAACCTAGTCTAAACCAGTTATTTCAGAAATAACTCTTCATGGAAATTCCTCAATAACTGTTTTCAATCAGCTGAAATGAAATTCAGAAAAACATTAACTAAATTTTTAAGTGCTTTCATGCATGGTGGCACTTGTAGAGACAGAGCCTTATCTCCTCATTTCAAACTTTAAGGCAAAGATTATGGGATACTGTTCATGTGGCGGTTTTGAGGTGTTTTATTTTCTGGTTGGTTTTTTTGGTGGTGGTGGTTTTGTTTTGGTTTTTTAAGCACACAAAACTACCCCCTTCATAGACAGAATTTAACAAAACCTTTTAGGAAAGGAAACCATACATCCTTACTAAACCGCTTTATCCCACTCCCTGTATTAAACAGTTCATCCCTGCATCACTCCACCCCTTCATGAAGTGGCAGCACTGCAAGTAGTTTGGAACAACACAGACCTGTTGAGTGAGCCAGTTTTTATTAAGTCAGAAACTTCATGGCCAAATTCTGCCAGCCTTTCCCCTGATTTGGCCTCTTGCATTTACATAGCTCTTCACTTTCATGAAGCATGCATTTATGTTTATTTTAGGACTACCCTTTTGAACTTGATTTGGCCAGTGGCTTCAAAGTTACCTGTGAGACTGTCCTGGTTTCAGCTGGGATAGAGTTAATTTTCTTCACAGTAGCTAGCATAGTGCTGTGTTGTGGATTTAGTACCAGAAGAATGTTGATAACACACTGATGTTTTCAGCTGTTGCCAAGTAGTGCTCAGACTACTCAAGGACTTTTTGAGCTTCTCCTGCTCGCCCAGGTGCATAACAAGCTGGGAGTACAGCACAGCTAGGACAGCTAACCCAAACTGTCCAAAGGGCTATTCCATACCATAGAACATCATGCTCGGGGGTGGTGGTGGGGGGGTTAGTTAGTTCGGTCGGTGGCGGCTCGGGGACTGCTCCCGGCTCAGGGCGGGCTGGGCATCGGTCGGCGGGTGGTGAGCAATTGCATTGTGCATCATTTGTTTTGTATATTCTGTTATCATTCTCATTATTACTATTATTAGTGTTTTCTCTTATTAAACTGCCTTTATCTCAGCCCTCGGCTCTAACCTTTTATTTTCTTTCTGATTCTCTCCCCCATCCCACTGAGGGAGGGGGGAGTGAGCGAGCAGCTGCATGGTGCTGAGTTGCCAGCCGGGTTAAACCACGACAGAGACTGACAAGTGGACCATGTGATTACAGAAATACTGTTTCTTAATTTTTCAGAACTTCCATAAAGGCAATACAGCATCTATGCTATAGTTAAGATCAATGCTAAAATATTATTTTTTAGAGATGGATGCTGAATTTACCTCTTATTCTACTCCTCTGAAGCCAAACTGCAGGACATTTATTACTTGTCCTCAGGCTCCCCAGCTGGGCACAGACAAATGAAAACCAACACCTCCTGACTGCTCTGGGGAACATGCTATTCGTGCTCCATTCTGAAATACTACCAGAAGCCAGTTACTGCTAATTCCCTAGTTAATAGAAAGCTACATATATTAAGGATCTACTGGACTGCATCTCAAACTCTGTGCAAGGTTTAAGAGCACTGATACAACTGATTTGCTAGGATAAAACTCCTACTAGCTGAAACTAAAATACTTGCCTTCTAGACTTGCAAAAGTGGTTCAAAAACACTTTCAAAAGGTTAATTACTAGAAACTAAAACTCACAGCAACCTGAACCATTACTAAAAGAACACCTAGACATTTGAAGCAAGGTGTAACATTTGTGAACTCAAAAGCAAATCTCTGTATCTGTGTCAAAGCTAACATGACCACATGACACTAGACTGTTTTCAACAAAAATTTTGGTAGCCTTTTCAATTATTTTTTTCAGCTCTCAGAACTAAGTGCTCAGCCTTGAGACTGGATGGAAAAGATGCCTGAAGTGAGAAAGAAGTGGTGAGCAAAGAGATGAGAATGTGAAGCATGTAGCCTCCACAGCTAGGTGGATTTCATGGTGCTCTTTATTCTGAAGTTTGAGATTGATGTCTTGGTCCATACTTGTGAGCTTACAGTAATTGAGCCTGGCAACTGGAGTCAAAAATCAACTATGTGCTAGAAAGAACAGACTAACCAACAGTTTTGAAACAGGGACAAAACTGCCTGGAAAGGCAGATGATCCAAAGATGCCTAGCTTTTTCAAGCAATTCATTTGTTGATGACAGTTTCAAAGAGGAAACAATTAGACTGGCACCTGCAGTAATACCAGTATTTTTTTTCCACGGCATTAAAGCCTTGAGGACTTTGACCTGACTCATGCTGAAAAGAAAGTGCTGAGGAGCAAGAAGCATGCACAGCAATATAGCTGAAAAATTAGAAATTCCTTTGTGTTAGAACAAACTCTTAACATTTATTAAGTGTTCAACTCTTATTTTAGTATAGTTAGTACCTGGTAGTATATTTAGTGTATATTTAGTGTGAGAACTGTTCCAAACCTCTTAAAGTTTTAGTAACTTTCAGAAAAAAAAATACCACGTTATCTAAACAGACAAAGGTAGTTTTGTAAGACAAGATTTTGACTGACAGAGAATTGGCGTTAGCTTTGTTCCACTACTGCAATTACCCTGTTCACGTGGTTTGAGTTGCATTGGACACTGAAGGAATCTGTTCAGTTATGGTGCAGCTTACCAAATGATTATCTTATTAAATCTTTATTGCAAACATGAGGGAATGTATCAATGCAAGTTTTAATACAGATGCAGATATGTACAGCTTTTTAGCAACAACTTAAGATCTGCTCACCTCCCTCATAAAACATGGCTTTCTGCCAGCAGCCTAAGAGTCACTCTGTCAAATAGAACAACTAAGAATCACTAATCATTCCTGCATTTTTTATTTGGTAGGGACATCACTGTGAGGCTAGCATTTGCCCTTAAGAGAAACAGCAGAGTTTACAAAGTCCTTCCTCCTGAGAGAGGAAGAAAATTTCCTAACGAATCCTAAAAATTTGCTTCTTTTCATTTTCATACTGACTTGCCTTTGGTTTGTCTAAACCTTTTACTACCAATCTTCTATTCACTTTAAGTCTAATGAAGAAAGAAGGAAGCTAAAAAGCTCTTTCAGTAAGAGAAGCAGGTAAGATAATACTCAGCTACTAACAGAACTACCATAGAAGTTAAAACAATTTTTAGATTCTTCTTGAAAGTCTCAGGTTATTAAATGAAAAGAGTTTTAAAAAAATAATTGCAATACTTTTCCCTTTTTTCCCCTCCTTATAATGAAAAATAAGCCTACATCATCTCTGTAGCATGGTTGCAGTCAGGAACTCATTTGAGTCTCTGAAGCACCTCTTAGAATAAAACATTGGGTTATTCTAAGTCAAAGGCAAAAAAATTAAAACAGAGCAACAAGAAAAACTCTAAGAATCAATCCCTTACAGGCTTTTTACACAATGGATATTTGTGGGGAAAAAAATAATACAAAAAATCCTGTTTGGTAACTTCAGTTTCAAATTCTGACAAAATACAGCTTTACTATGTAAGACTGCTTATATAGCAAACATGTATGGTAAAGGATGATAAAGCAGCAGTATATAACAGCAAAACTTTTACATTTGAATATATTTAGCCAACGGTTAGTTTCAGATTCAACTTTGAGTCTTTGCTTCTGAAACAAACCCAGAGCTATGACTTCGCTACATTACTAGTGAGATATAGTTCAGGGTAAATTCACCTCCAGAAATAAGTCTCAACGTCCAGATTTGTCAGAGGTTTCTTCTGAAGTTTTGCAAAAGTGTTGGCTGCAATAGCCCTTCAGAGGTAACAAAAAATCCCAACCAAAAACCCTCCCAAAATGAAAAAAAATTAGGAATAAATTCAATTTTTCCAATAAATGCTGTAAGATCGTTTTGTGATTAATATAAAGCTTAATTACCATTAATGACAACATTTTAAACAATAGCTCATCTCACAATGATACAGAAAAATCAGAAGGAAAACATTACCTTATTTACAATTTAACATGTAAAGAACCTTCCTGTGTCCTGCTACTTTTTCACAGTTTATGATTAACAATACACTTATGATGCATTACAAATGCATACACAAATTAGTTACTGACTGGCAATGAAATAACTCTTCAATAAAAGTGCTAACCTCACTGCTCTGATTCAATTCTGGCCACGTCTGGTTTAGGGATGGCATTGATGGAGACTTGCTTGGAGGCGCTTCTGCTGGAGAGCTGGAGTAACCTACCTCACCAGTCTGTTCCCCAACTTCTGAAATGACAGGAATCACTATAAACCAAAATCATGAATTGCATTCAGTTTAATCTCAGAAGAGCTGCTCATATCTCATGGAAAGTACAAAGTACCCTCTGATTTCATCTTTTCCAAGTACATACTTGGCAGCAGACAAGAAACACTCATTCAAGTCAAATACATTATTTATTAGGTGCTACTCTTATTTTGAGGATCTTTCTGAAAATTGGACTTTGAAGATTACTCTGTACCATATTATCTCCCTGTACTTTGGCTCTTAAATAGCCTTTTTAGATTTTGATTGCATGTAGAAATAATTCTTTTTTACATTATGTGAAAATAACTTCACGCTAATGCTTATTACATCAAATCCAGCACTGAGTTTATCTTACAGAATAAAATACTTCCTTACATGAAAGGTTAAAGTAAACCCAGTATATTGACGCAAACACGAACCAAAAATATGAAAACAGATGAAGAAAACCATTCCCTTAGATTATTCCCCAAAGACTATTTTAAGCCTCCTTACTAAAACAACAGCATTTCCATTCACGTTTTGTAAATTGAACAAGTCTAGCAGCTGTCACATTGCAACCATACATTTACTGTTATTACTGTTATTTCAGTTTTCTCTGAGCTTTCAGCAAGTACAGTCCCTTGCAGAAACACTCCTTCAGAGTTGTACAAATTTTCACGATGCAGCACACTTAATTTTGTTCTGTTCAAACTATAAAATAGGGTAAAGTAAATCTGAACAGCAGATTAAGCATTCTGCACACAATAAAATTCTCCTTACAGTGTCTTCTATTTTGCTAGATACCACAATACAAGCTAAAGCAATGCCTTGGAAGCCTCAAAAAAACTGAAGTTCAGATTACAAATGTATAATGTAACAAGAATAGTTGAAAGAGTGACTGATAAGTACCTAACATATTAAGATGTTTTGCACTCTAAAGAACTAAAGCTGCACAAGACAAAAGATGGCTCAATTCAATTACCATTTAAAAGGACTGCTTGATAGACATGAGATTGAAGACAACTGCCACAAGAATGTGTGATACACTGTACCACAAAGTGATTAAAATTTATAAAAAGGACTGGTTTCAGGGTCCTGAAGAGCTGAACTCTGCAGCCTGCTCTTCTGCTACAACAGCTCAATATTCTGTCTTCCATTCAGAAGAAACTCATAACAAATCCAGTGTTAAACGGTGCTATGTGGCTTGTGGGAGTGGAGGAAGCACGTGTGTGTAGTGGTGTAAAACTGGCACCAACAAAAAGTTCAAAATATACCAATGGCAACGTTTTGGGAATGCCTATTGCGTATCAATTGCTCAAGTGCAATACTAATAAAAAATTTCTAATGAGTTAAAAAACCACTCGAAGCTCTCATTTCAATGGTGGTACACTAGATAACTGGACTATTAGTGATAAACACAAGGTCAAAAGATAGGGCCGAGAACTGCTGTGGATAGACTACGCAGCTACCTGTAATTCATAGAATGTTGCAAATATCTGCACAAAGCACGCATAAGAGACCTATGGAAAACTCCAGGCATTAAAGTAATTAAGTTGTGTAAGACACAAAGCACAGCAGATTCTTTTTCTTACAAAGAAATGGTGTTGCTGCAGCAGCCAAAACAAACAAATCACAGAAAAGCAAAGCTTGCTTTGAGTTTTGTAAAGGGTTGGTAGCTTTTACTAATTGAGATAAAACTGAGTTTAAAGGAAAGTATTTGCATTTATTTACATAATAGGAAGTGAGATTAGTACTCTTTTCAGCAGCAGATCATAAATTCTGCCAAGACAGATGCAGATGCTATCAACAGTATTTGATTAATAAAATAAAGCATATAAGTACAAAAGACTTCTCCAAGTGCAACTGCCTGACTTCATGCTCCTATTTTCACTCACTGCAGTTTTCTTCTACAAGGTGTTCTTACGCAGACAGATCTCACTCATTCTGAAGAGCTGACATTATCTATCTACAAATACCACAACACAACGTTAAATCATAAGTGGAGCTGCCGCAATCCAAATAAATCTTTGAAGTATATGATCAAATTCAAAATACTAAAACTGTTCAAATGTATTGTAGAATTACCACATTGTTCCAAGAATTTAGAACACCTCATTTCTCTCTCTAGTGAGCAGAAAGATACTAGCACCTCATTTAACACTTTTTTTCTATTAAAATTCTGTAGGGGCATAGTGCTATACCAGAAAAATGACCAACTATATAAATGCTTTATTATACAATAGGTCTATGTCATGTGAGAGAAATACATATCCCTGGTCACGAAACCAGATGTTAGATAAGACCAATATGTTAACGGATTTGGGACACCTGCAGTTGGTTGAGGGAGAGGCTGCCAGGGTAGACCACTAGAGTTCTTCCCTCCCTCTGTCTGAACAGAGACCTAGGGTACAGGGAGCCCTCGTTACTTTTCTTTCTGCTGGCCACTAGTTCAAAAGTCAAAGAGACAGCAAGTTTCAAGAGCATAGCAGAAGCACAGAAGGTGAAGGGAAAGTTTCTAACAAAAGGACAGATTTAATAAGGGCATTGTTAACACTTTTGAAATTACTGTTAACCAACCACCTTGCACATTGGTTTAAGACAACATTCAAGTAATTCACATTGAGGCTTCAGTCAGCAGATCACCAACAATTTCTTTCTTTGAGGAAGTTGTATGGTATGAAAAAAGTGCACTCAAAAAGACACTCTGGTGTCATACCTCACAGTTTCTATTTCTGAGAAGGCTGTTGGAAGCAAGCTTTATTGAAATACAGCTTTTATGGGAAATAAAAAGTTATTACAGAAATTTAACTGGTTGATCTTTCTAGGCTGATTTACACTCCTTAAGTTGAACCCATGTAATTTAATATGTACATTAGTCTGCACATAGACCTGAGTAACTTTTAATTTAGATGAAAATAGTAAACTTAAACTGAGATTTGGACTGTTGTAACTACAAGTAAAACTATTGTCAAGTCAATAATGTCTCCTAGAGTCTTTTATTCAACATACAAGTTTTGGCAATAAATCATGATAGATGCTAAAAAAGATTTGCTATTTCCAGTACTTGTGGCCCCAATCAAAAAAAAAATATCTAGTTAATTGGATAAATCTCAACAAGTTTGTAAGAACTGTCACTTTTCATTACAGCTATTAATAACAGCAGAATTAAGTATCAATCAGAATTTTTTTTTAAGCACAGCTTACACTACATGGTAACCTTGTAACATTCACTAGAACAGGGTAACTTCCCTTTAATACCAGAGGGAAAATATGGTTGGGGTTTTTAACTACTTTTAAAAGTAGTTTTTCCTCAAATTTGAAGACCACTTTGTACCTCATGAAAGTAAGTCACGAAGCTTTATATTAACAAAGCTGCCTGTAAAATAAGAACAAACATACATGTAACACTTTTTGGTTTAATGTCCAATTTATAAAGTTTCCTGACAACTTCAATTAAATTATAAAAGCCTTGAAAACTACCAGTAAGGGCAGTAGAAGATCAGGTACAGAAATAGTCGGTTTGTTTGGTTTAAAAACAACATTTTATGCAAATAAATTTTATTTTATTTCCTATAAAGATTTTTACTTGGCCATCACCTTAATACAAAACCAAACAGAACGGGTAGGTTTTTAACACTTGCTAGGTATTCGCGCAATTAATTGCAGATATTTCTTACGTCTTTATCATAGTAAAATGCTTACTCATAATGAAAACACTTCAGTTGCAGCTGACTGCTATTGGAAAGGTTCTTTGAGAAGCCAAGCTACTCCCACAGAAAAAATGGTTTAATTATTAAAGCAGAGGTAGTAAGAGCCACAGTATCTAGGTTAAGAACTTAACAATAATTGTCAGATGAAAGTCTTTGACATGCTACAAACACAGTATGAAGAGATCCCCTTTGAATTACTTAGTAAAAAGAAACAAAATTCTAGGAAATAATAGTACCTGCAAACCCACAGTATAACCTGACTTACCAAGCAAAGACTACTTGATAAAAAGTAATCTAAAGCAGTTTTAAAATACTCAGTTTCCTTTATCTGTTTTAAAATAAAAAAGAAAGATGGCCACAAGCATCCTGTTTTTAAACACCACTTTTACGTGGAACAGTAGTTTGCTTTTCAGTTATGGGACTGAGTTTTTGGCACATACCAACAAGCAGAACTCATACATTCAATAGTTTATCTTGGAGCATCCAAAGGTAAAGGACTACGCACAGAAGAATTAGGTGCCAAAGCAATGGAGGATAAATCCTACTGTCAAGTCAGGAGTAGAATTAAAAAAACCACACACAAACACACAAAACCAAAACAAAAAACCTGTGCTACTGATCCTGTACTTTTAAACTACACAGTCCTACCTCTAGCATTGAATCTGGGAGTATTTTTGAAGTACCTTCAAGACTTAGAAACTCATGCCGTATTTCCAGAAATGAGGGTGAACAGAAAGCATATTCATTTGAAAGCAAGTCTAAAGCATAGCTGGATTGGGAACTTGGAATGGCTGACCACAAATAAAATCCATACTGTGACAAGCTTGTTTTCCTTAACCTTTAAAGGACACAAGCAGTATTTCCAAATGTAATAGTCGATACTGCTTCTAAATAACATCTCCCTGTACAGAAATACGCATGTGCTCAGATTAGCTCTGAATAACGATTAAGATTCCTAAAAATTGCACATAGCTTTACTTCATACTGACTAATGAGTTAAGCTCACACAAACCTATAAATATGTGATGATATACTGTAACCTTAAGTATACTATCATTTGAAAATAGTGACATTTGCGTTGCATGAAGCATGTCTTACCCGTTGAGTCTTCCAGATCAATCAGTTTGGGCATTAAACTTTCAGGTAACTTTTCTGGCAAATCATACCCGTTCTTCCTAGCAACTACCAGATGAAATGCAGCACAGAACTCATCCAATGTCAGTGCACCATCTTTATCAAAATCTGACAGTTCCCTAAAAAGGAATACTTAGTATAAATAAAATTTCTTAAGGTTATTTTATTCCCGAAAGACATACTTCTGTTGTGCTACTTGGAAGTTAAAAGATGCAGTTTATAGTTCATTTTACCCTATCAAGCACTTCATAGTAGCACTACGTGCTTTATTCTTCAAAGATGATGAACCTTCGTTAATATTTCTTAGAGCTTAAAGATCATTTAAACCTACTTTAACTCTCCAGGTTTTTAACTCATTTAAGACAGTACTACTCAGTATTATTGGCCTCCAATTTTTCAGCAAAGCATACTAAAGAAATGACAGTGCTGAGGCAATGGGATTTATTTTAAATGGGGAAATACAAATTAGAAATCATTACATTGAAAGAAAGATCAAATCTGCTAAGGTAAGCCATTTAACAATAGCATGCAATGATGCAGTACAAATTCTAGAAAACAGTGAAAAACAAGCTTTGCACCAAGTCAAAGCTAAATTTGTCATCAAGTGCCACTAAGTGCATTTAAAAATATTTGCATTTGCACATTTCATTTAAACTTAGACTTGAATAAATAGATAAGGAATTAATTATTTAAATTTAAATGCAACTTTAACAATACAAACCTCAAATTGCTTCTTACTCTGAAGTGTTTGAAATTTCTTCAAAAGCTCAAAATGCCTTGTAAATAGTGCCTAGACCCATTAAAGTCCACTAAAATAATACTGTCATAAATGCGAGCAGGACTGAACACACTAGAGTATTAGTGAAATTTCACTTAACACTTTCTAACAAGAGGATTTTTAGATGACTGCCAGATAGCTGTCATCTTTCTAAATAATTATCCTGAATAAAGACACATCACACTTACCAGATATGAGAAAGTTCAAGAATAGGTAGTTTTGACTTAGTGAAAAATTCTTTAGCTGCAGATCCTGAAAAATTACAACAACCATTTTTTAATATTTAAAGCAAGCTAAATCATTAGAAGACTTTAAGAGTTATGGTACAGGAGATTAGCTGTTTAGCAAAGGTTCTGGGAAAAATGGCACTAATTACTAGGGTTAAATGAAGGAAAAAGGCAAATAAGTTTGAAGTCCTTTCGTGAATTACACTGGACTTTACTAGAACATTATCAGTAAAATACAGAATTTTCTTCAAAATAGTATGCAAACCTAAGTAAACAACAAAGTCTTTGGAACAGAACTGCTGCACCCACAATTATATTTTTTAAAGAGTAACTTACCTGGTATAAATCCATTTAAATCAGGTTGAATGGTTTTAAACTGATTAACATAATACTGCCTTTGTTCATCAGTTATTTTCCAGGGGTCATCGTAACTACTTGATTGCCTACGAATTTCATTTGTTGTTGTAGCTGATGCTACAGTTCGTACTGTTGTCTGGTCCTGAAATGAAATATTTTTCCTCAGTATTATCTACCTAAAACACTTCTGTGAATTCTCAACTTCTTGCCTTCAAAAAATAAAGCATAGTTAAATCTTGCAGTAGTTTAAGAACTGCAGGAAACTATCAGCAGACTGCATCTACAGGGTAATGACAGGGTATTTTTGCACACTGATACATATGGATAGGAATGACTGCAGGTATGTAAGCAGAAAAAAAAGTATGGCACATATGCAAAAAAGCTAAACACAAATGTTTTAAAATCATAATTGTTGACATTTTCTAAATTAGTAACTTTCAGTTAATCATTCCAAATGAAGTCAATTCAGTGAAACAAGTATCTGTTGGGTAAATAGCACTGAACAGACTACAGCACAGATACACAAGTAAACATCTGCAATGAAAATTATAAAAAAAAACACCAAATAAAAAAAATAGATTGCAACATCAATCTGAATGAAGCAAATCAAATACCAATAAAGTGTCACACCTGGACAGAAGCAGGATGCATGGCTAAAAGAGCACTGGTTGGTGGGGTATCTGCAAAACTGACCCAGTTTTCTTGATGGGGTGGTGGTGAATGGCCAGACCATATGGGATCACTAGAAGTAGATGAGCCTGAAAGTAGAAGAAACATTTCCTTTTCAAAAGACAACCTTGAAAACTTGAGTACGAACTATGGATATGGAAAGCAGTCCAAAAAAAAAAAAAAAAAAAGTCCTGAAACAAATGCTCCTTGTCAGGAAGGTAGACACTTGCAGAATGGTGAAGAAAATGAAAACCAAATTGCACCAAAGTGAAAAAGTTCACCTCCTGACAGCTCACTTCTGTAGATTTTCACATGAGGTCACCTTAAATCTGTACTAAGATGACAGAAGTGAGGAATGAGCTTATTGCAACACGTGTAAAATGTAAATTGGGTTTCACCCATTTGATGGGTTTTGAATGAGTTAACACTTCACATTTTCACTTAACTGAAATGAGCAACATTTGTATGGAGAAACAGCTATTTAAAAGTGTCTTTTTTAGTTTGCCATTCAAAGAACAAAGCCTTGGAAATTCCTCCTAAGAATCAGGCTTGTTGGCACAGATAATTTTTTTTTCTAAATTATTTCTAGACTAACTTCACTCAGTTGCTTAGAAACAGTCCAAGAATAATAAAAGGCATCCATATAGAGTGCTAACATCTGCTAAGTATTAACTATCTGGAACAGAATAATTGAGATTCATCCAGTGCCTTGTTTCCTCAAAATTCTCTTAAATTGCCGTTACAAATAAAAATTTAAGGAACTCCGATGAGAAGGGAATAATCTAGAACCAGTCTAGAAGAATCCTAGGATTCCATTCTAATTGACTCCTAAAAGAAATGCTGAACTCCTTAAGTCTAAACAGCAGTTGTGAAACCTGATTAATCTACTCTTCTTGCACAACTAACTGTTTTCTCTTGAAATATGTCAAAGTCATACTTGGGAATTTTTGCCTCATATGTAGAAGTGGATTTCCTTTTAAAAGGCAGGTGAACTTCTTGTGAGTTTCTGTTAGCCCTCCACATAACACACAAACAAGAAATATGACATTAATGTCAGAATTTGAATCCCACCACTAAGATCTAAATTGAAGCAATAAACCCCAAGAATTTATTGTCAAGATGGTGACTAAAAAAATACTGCTATAAGAAGTCCATTTATATAGAGATAATTATTTATGAAGCTGACAAATATCAACAATTTCAGCTTCCTGGAGACTGAGGGCACTATTAGTACCCAACCTGCAATAAACATAGTGAAGGACATTTGAGAATCAGTGAGGTACACTAAGGGCTAACATCAAAAGTGACAGTAATATTGTTAGTATGCAAAATTGCTATTTAATGTCTGGCAGTATGCAATTACTCTTTCATTCCATAAATGACCTTTTTCCTAGGAGAAAGTAATGAGAGAAATGCTTAGAACGGGTTTACCTTTGCTCTTCTATGTACAATAGCCATAATTATGCACAACACATTTAATCTTTCATTACATAGGGTAAAAAAAAAAAAAAAAAAAAAAAAATCGAGATTTTCAGGGGGAGAAAGATTTTTGAAGGAGGAGATAAGTCAAATATACAAAATTGAGAGGTTACGTTATTTCTGAATTTCAGCAAAAATATAAGAATAGCAGCAAGGGGCTTTTGGAGTTTTTTTTGGTTGGTTGGTTGATTTTTATAAGTTAGCTCTACTAGGATAAAAACCCCACTATTAACTACTCCTATTGTTCCCAAATTTGTCCTCCACTTCTCAAAGCTCCTGATGTGGCCTGGAGCGTCTAGTGACTTCATCCGAAATTGCTGAGAATAAAGGTAATGAATTTGAGAATGCTTTTTGCCTTGGGGTTCTTCTTCAGTAGCTGGCCTAACTCTAAAACACTAGAATGAAACGTGCAGACATGCTGAGAGTCTCTCTCCACCTGGTCTCTCTCAGCACAGGGCTAACAGACAGTGAGATTCAGACAAGTCCTTCCCATCTCCCCTACAGAGATGCCACACTCAAAATGTGCTTTTGACACAATGGTTCTCCCCTTCTCTACCCCTCAGACACTGACATTATTACCACTAACCTTATATATGCTTACTCTGCCTTTACATGTCCCAACAGCTTGTCATAGTACAGTTCAATTTGTACCCCAATCAGCACAGCACCTCTTCCAAAGCAGTACTTTAACAGTGATGACAATTTGTACCACAATCAGCACAGCACCTCTTCCAAAGCAGTACTTTAACAGTGATGAAGAAGCCAGTAGCACCAAATTGTCATACCTTCCAAGTACTTTGCAAGTATTACAAGAACTGCTTCCCTTCTCCCCTGTTCAAATTATCCCAACTAGAATCCTCTTGCTGTTATTCACTCTGCAATGCAACATTTTAGGACACAGGATGGGAAGGCTGAAGAATGCTGGAAAAAGATTATTAGTAACTGTGGACAGCTGGATCTACACACATACTCATGGACTGCTACCAGCCAATAACCCAATTCTCCATCATTAAAACTGCATCTATTTGACATTTGAATTGGAGATAGTCACTCCTTCCTTTCTTATCAAACTACAAGACCAGCCTGGGAACACAGGTAGAAGGCAAGGTGGAAGAAAACTGAGTCACAGAGACAACTCTAAACAATCAGTGTTTTGGTGGTGGTTTTTTTTTTGTTTTTTTTGTTTTTTGGGTTTTTTTTACACTATTTGTAACCCAATGAAGAACCAACCTTCAAGGGTCTCTGTGCATCTTCATCAGTGAGAACACCATTAATAGCACTTAGAATGGAGAGTAGGCCCAAGACCAATTATCAGATTTAAATTAGCTGGTGAAGTCTAATGCACTATGTTTAGTATGAAGACCCAACTACAAGTGTAAGAAAAGGTTTATCTAGATAACATCTGAGTAGCTTGTACTTTTAAATAACTATACAAATGTAGGTTTTACTTAGAGAACTAAATTTTCAATTAACATAATAAACTAGCAAGAGCTCTCCTTACCAGCAACTTGTGAGGAAACAAAGCCAGAAGGTGAGTACAATTTTGGCAATAAGATAAAATGCTGTAGAGCTCTTCCCTCCCTGAATAATCACGTCCAGCTAAGAATAATCCTTGTAACAAGGCCAATTATCAGCAGTTACTGAAGCAGTAACTAGGAGACAATTATTCAGTCCCTTGCAAGCACAGCAAGTATCTTCGGACTCTAAAGACACAAGTGAGCTGTCAGTACAGTACACATGTTGTTCTACTTCTGTCCATGAAGTTTTCTGGTTCTTGATTTCATGAACTGCAGCAAAATCTCTCCAAATGAGGAAAAGCAGCATGGCTTTGGGCTGCAAGTTTTTACTCATATTCAGACATCAAAACAGAACTCTGATGTAATGCCACGGAAAGCTAACAGAGGTCCTATGACTGAACAGAAAACCTCAGATTTTTTGACCAGTTTGAAATTGTTATTTGGATACTATCAACACAGATGTTCTGCTTTGCTTCCAGGCCAGACAGACTACAAGGTAACAAAAAAAAGTTTTGGCCCCTATTATGACATGACACTCAACTACCATTTGAAGTGGGGAAGGGGTTCTTTCTCCCAAGTTTGTCACAGTCAGAATCCTAGCAGCTAAGTTCTAGTGCAAAATTAACTGACAAGGTAGCAGTATGAAGTTTCTTTTTTCCTCTCTTGTAACTATAGGAGGCCCTCACCTCATACAATTCTGTTTCCTACAAAGGGTTCAGTCATCCACTGTATTATTCTATGAAGACTGATCTAGAAGAAATGTTAATGACATCAGAGATGCACACCAGAATTGAGACATAACAACATGATTTTTGAACAGCTTTATCTCAAACTTAAATCAAAGACACCTGGAAGACTTGAGAGACTCAGGTTTTAATAGAATTCGCTCAGACATTTAAGGATGAGACCTGAACTAACAGTAGACTTCATTCTACACAGGTGATCCATGTCTGTCTGAACTTTTAACTCCTGATTTTGAAGTAAAATGCATGTACCCTTTGGAGCTCTCTTCACAAAAAACCTTAAAGATGGTAACAAGCCCCATCTTCTTTCAGGCCTGTCAGCACACTGAGCTAGTCACGACAGTACCTCAGTCCAGCTACTTAGGATAGCGTTATTGACACTTCATAACTGAGTTACTGGACAATACAGTAGCAAAAAAATTTTAAAATCCAAATTTTTTTGCTCTGTTGAGATGAGAACAGGTTTTCTTACTCAAGGAATCGAGAACTACAGCTATAAGTTATGCTTCAGACTCCTGATACAAGAGAAGGTGTAAGATTTTTAAAAACAATAACTGAGTCATTACCTAATAATTATTGGATACAGAAAGCACTATTTAATTCATGGCAGGAATACCATGATGCACTGGAGAGTCTTTACTATGCATAAGTCAGAATCTTCCTCTCTAAACAAAAAAATTATGTTTTGATTTTTGTCCTCCTGGTTTAAGGCAACATGCTGCTTATTGGTTGACACATCTGAAACACTGAGGTTCCATGCTTTCAGTTGACAACCCCATTACCCTGAAACAATGTTTCACTTAATGTGAAATACAAGCAGAGAGACCTGGGTTCTTATTTTCCTTGGATCACAAGTGAAATGGCAAAGCCCTGCCTTAAATCCTATTAAAATTATATCACGTACTTGCAAATTACCAGATTTCTGAAGAACATCTTGCACTGAAATCAAGATGAGCTTGCAGAGCTGATTTTAGGAAAAATAACTAACGGTCTATCTGGTTCTACCTAATTGCCAGCAGAATATCATTTTTCTCTAAAATACTGTCCTTAAAAAGTAGGCTTGAGAGGGAAAAAGAATGACAAACTGTCTACAACAGCTGAAATTCAAAGGAATAATTATCTGCAGCGCAAAGAATCACTTTATGGATCAGGATGACAATTTTTGTTAAACTAATATATGAAAATCCACTCTATCCTTAGCACTGGCAGAGCAGACAATCCTATAACAGTATCGCCAAATTACTTTAAACACATTATGAATGTGTTTCAGTACACAATATAAAATCGATGAATATTAAGCTAGTTCAGAAATATTTTCAAACTACTACTGAAAAATTCATCCATTAGACATCACAGGGAAAGCACTGCCAAACTGAAATATTAACGTGGTATTACAACTTTATTTTTAAGAGGACAATATTAAACTCTTCAACAGTAAGAATAGTTTTTATACTTTCATGGAGTCCTTCACTTTGTAAATTAGAAAAACTTCACAAGTTAGAAATCAGCTACCAGACAAACTTGTATTTCAGGTTGCAAGGAAAGCAAATAAACTAAACTATGCAAGAGAAAAAGTCAGGAAATTGACTACTGAAAAATCACAATGTCTTAGAAGTGATCATATATGTAATGACCAGACTAACAATCTTTTTTTTTTTTTTTTGGATTCTAAATTGACTGGCACTTACTAGCAAATAACATTCAGGACACTGGCATAAACCTCTGCATACAACCCATTTCACTTCTAAAATAAAGTTTTATTTCCTTATCCAACCAATTCTAACAACAGAATCCCTGCTCCTCCATGGATGATTATAACTACAGAACAATAAATTGAAAGGTAACAGATCAATTTTGGAATAGCACAATTGAAATAAACCAACCAACCCAGTTCAGGCTGAAACTACAGACTACAAAATACAATCTATTATTCACCAATATCATAAAAAACAGAACCTGATTAGAAATGCTCTGCTGTTACCAAATTTATTAGGTCTATCAGATATCGGAAAACATTTTGAAATATGCAATATTAAGGGGGAAAGCTTTTTAAATCTGAGCACAGCGATACCACAACAGCAAGGGTCTTCTGTTAAATGAAAAACAATAAAGGATGCAAAGCTGTACTGAAACAAGTGGTTCTCCCTTGACAGACTGGAGATACAGTAGCTTCAGTTACATTTACATGAACTTTAAAGAAACAAAAAAAATGTTAAGAGAATTAGTTGTTCTGACAAACTTCTAATCTACCAGAAACATAATTCAACCATTACATTATTTACTGCTTTCCTTTGAGCTCCCCATGTTTTTGGGTATACTGACAGTTCCTGCACAATTTCAGTAGGATGTCAGTTTTGTATTAGAAAACTTTCCACTGGGAAACTTTCATACTCTTTTTCCCTCCCTCCAAACTCTACACATTTTCCATACCACACTAAGAAACAGATCCGCCATATGCAAGACCACAGATTCCACAGTGCTGCCATAGACATGAACATTTGAATCTGCAAGAAAGTTTCCAGGATTGGAAAATACAAAGATAATCTGCCCTAAACTCATTTAATATGCTTATTTAAGAATCCCACAACTGAATTACAGTTACAGCTGAAGCATAACAGAAGACATTTATACCTGGTTGTGCTTCACTAAATGGAGCCCAAAAAGGCCCAGGTCCAGCAAGAGGTCGTTCATTATTCCCTCCGCTGGGATGGCGGTTGTGCTTCCTCCATGTATGTGGAGAGGTTGGTGGGGATTGCTGTGGTGAAACAACTGGAGATGTGGACTCCTAATAAAACAAAGGAACCTTTTAAGTTTTTTACTAAATACCTAAATACATAAAAGCCTATCTAAACCCATTATTTCTAGGAACAACCATCACTGCAGTTGAAGTCTCATTTTAGAGAGTAAAAATTTTAGTACTTATTAAAATGAGGGAACAGGAGAAGTCAGGTACAGTATGACTGGCACCAGACACGTTCACTTCAAACAACAGCATCTAATGGATTTTCAACCTGGCATTCTTAAGACAACAGCAATGCCGAGTTAAATTACTTGGCTACAAAGGAAACTAGATTATAAGACTCACTTTCACTTGTGATAGAAGTTACATTTGAACCCAGGTCTCAAAAGAAAAAATTACTTACTGTACAACTTATTATCATAAGTAATTTTCATCAAGTGATTCACAATCCGTTACTTTCATTTAAAAAACAAACCAGAATTAAACACTGAAAAAAAAAATCACTAGACAGGCCACATTATTCTTTTTTTAATATGCGAAAACAGAGATTAATTTTTTTCAAAGAACGATGCCATCTAGGATACACTTTTCTGCTGTACGAATTACAAGGTAGTTTTGCCCTGAAGTTAAGGCTCAAGCTTCTCTTTAATCCCATATTGTACTATAATCTCCCTGAACAGGTAGCAAAACAGAGAATCACACGTGCAATTTCTACCTGGAATCAGTTCTCATGAGACATTCAGATTACCAGATTATTCCATTTAAAAAAATACAAAGGAAAAATAATTTATATTGTACAAAGTAAAGTATTAATATAATAGAAAGTAATTTCCTCCCTATATCTAGATCTTTTGAAATTCCTGTTTGCCAGATCTCCCAGTTTGAACTAAACTGTATTAGTGAAAACAGGTACAACAAGAAAGCAAAGCTTGAACTCAGAGTTTACTGAAAAATAAAAACAAAGCTAAAAGTCTCAAAATCTGTTTCAGCAGTAGACAAAAAAAAAGTTTGGTACTCTACATTAACAACTGTTAACATACTATCAAGTACCAACAGCCAGACTGACTGCAGGCTTCCACCTGATTCCCAAAACTGAACTAATTTACTTTGCCGGATATTCAAAGGTCATTATGCTTCTTAATCAATAATACATCTGCAAAAGTCTAAAAGTCAATGAGAAAGTGCCATAAACAAGCTTTTTTCCACACAAGGTACATACTAAAACTATATGTATCCTAACAAAAAAAGATTTAGGGCCATGATGACTGGTTATTTTCTAGTGTGTTGATCCATTTCCACTTTTTTCCCCCCTCCAATTTTCATATTTCCTGGGATACAGGGCCAGTCTGGGTGATTCTGCAATTGAGGTTATTTTCCAAAAGTTCTGACCATTGAGTCAGATTTCTTTAAATAACATCCTCAGCCACAAGATTTTGAACTTCCTATTCAAAGCATTTAAATGTATGCCATATGTATTGGCAAAGAGTATTACAAAGCAGCTGGGAGAAGTACTAATTCACTTGAACTTTTAATTCAGGGACCAGCTGGTTGCACAAAGTCACTGTTTCTCCACAGTACCTCCACCAGTTCAAGATTTTTTTTCGTTGCAGTTACATGCCTTTCTAAAACTTGCTGGAAGATTCCTCCTCTTAGCATCTTACTTGACAAGGAATTTATTTCAGATGACAGTACTTTGTTACCCCCCTACAGGTACATGGGTGCAAGAGGGGAAGGAGTGAGGGTATCCAGAGTGCCACTTGCAGGCTAGAAGCTAGAACTGAGGTTGAATGTTTAATCCACTTAGCATAATGCAACAGGTGCTAGGAGAACCATGATAACACAACACATCACTGAAATTAATTAAATGCTTCTTCCACTGGCTTTTATATAAGCCATCTTTTATCAAACAAGATCTGAAGGATGTTTGAATTTTTTTTAAAAAATACCATGAATAAACCTAGGGAAAACTATGCTTGATCACAGACACTATTTATTTACTCCAGTACTCTTACTTTTTCTAAGTCACATGGTCCAGAAACACACAAGAAAGCCTGAGGCAGACAAACATATGATACTCTACCTAAAGGAAATCCCTCACTGCTTCTAGTTACATTAAAACTCTTGACATGTAATCCTCATGAAGCAGCTTTGCCCTAATGAAGCTGGCAACTGTCACCATTCAGTAAGCCTCCGTCTCACATTTGGCCTTATGCTCAAGGCATAGGAAGAAACTGTAAAGATGATCCTCAACTTCAATTCCTCTAAATGTTTACTTTACACGTGGTTCACATGATTCTGCAAAGCGTGTAATAATGGTAATCAGATCACCAGAAATACAAGCATAATAAATAATTAACTTTGTTCTCAATATTCCAGTCAACATTATATCCGAATTCCGAATGTTTACAGATTTCTCACAACTAATTAGGAGCTTTAGCTTACAGACTCCAAAATCTTGGCACAGCAAAAGCATGTCACCAACTCTGATGTCAAAAAGCTTCT